ATGCGTTCATGTGCCCATCCTCCTCATCTTTAGCGGCTGTGGGTGATCGAGTTGTGAAGCCAGAGTTCCAGGTCTTTGCAGAACAGCGTATTCGGAATGGCGTCGTGAGTTTCAAGTTGCATCAGGAGCGTCACTTCTTTCTTACGAAGAACGGGGGTTTCCAGGGGTCTTGCGAGATGCCTAAACAATTCGTCGGGGTCTTCCATGAGACAATTGAGGAATTGCGTGCTGATCCTACGCACACTCCCATTCTTGCTCATTGCGAAGTTGGCAGTGAATCTAGCATTGACGTCTCCCTCTCGGGCTTTGCTGACGACATCTTCCGTAAGCGTCTTGTACCTCGTAATATGAATGTTCAGGAAGTTATTCAGAATATCTCAGCCAGTGATGCAGCTATGAATCGCATTCTCCAGAAGTGGTGTTTCTCTCAGAATATGGGCAAGAAAGACATTATACCACATCTTGGCTCCACCCTAACTAATCGACAGTTGCAAGAATTTTGTCCTGCTAAACACGGCGCTGTTAAAGCACATGCACGGCATCTAGGCGCACGCTACACGATGAAAGGGAACAACGGTGTGGAGGTGGAGCTACGCATCCAGGGGATGAGAGGAGGGTGGAGTATGATGGGTCTCTTCTGGCATGAAAGGGGACTACGACGACTCAAGCGGGAACTCTATCTCAGCACTGTCGTGGAAAAGGGCCTTACGGGGCTCGAGGCGTTCGTTCTCACCTCGTCGGAGCACGCTCGTATCGACGTTATCATCGTCCGCTACCTTCGTGTACTGATGAAAGGCTCGGTGACGAACTGGGAGGGATCCCACGCCGTATCGTTGAGCAACGACGAGGTCCTGCGTGAGTGGCGCATCCTGCCGAGCGCGGGCGAGCTCGCGGTTCGACGGGTTCGTTGGCTCCAGAGTATGGTTCAGCATAGGCACGCTCACGCTCAGACCGTCTCGGTCCTCTTAGGACACATCCTGAACGAGGAATCCACACTCACACCATCTGGCACATTAAGCAGCACGGCCAATCCGTGGATACGTCAGTTTGCTCGTGACCTCGACTGTTATCGTGATATTAGTGGTACAGAGACGTTCTTTGAAGTATGGGGGGCTTCAGGCGATTCGTGGAAAGAGCTATTCCAGGAGAACTCAGATTCGGCTCATGAGTTTTTGAAGATAGACCCCAGCCTTTTACGCTCTGCAGTCTTTACGGATAGAAGGCATTGGGACCGACTATTTCGTCACACTCAATTTCAGGTCCCACAGTCTGGTCAAGAACATGTATGTAAGCTCTTAGATTCTACCCATCAGAGTTGTGATCTTGGCTTTGCTACTTATCAACAGCTTCTAGCACATCAAACGGCGCATCATGGTATCCGTTCTATCCTAAACTCTGGAGTGATATTAAATCAGTGCCCTAACTGCTGCTCTGTCTTTCGGGATCGGCAATCTACCCAACATCATCTCAAACGGGCTTACGCTAATGGACGTTGTCAACTTGGCAGGGCCCACATGTCTTGGGAGATTCGGACACCTTCTGAACTTAGATGCGGACTATGCGACGTAGCGGTTTTTGGCTCAGTGAGTGAACTGCACGAACACCTTCGACGCGTGCACTTACCCTTGCCGCTTCCGCGGCTTGTTGTTCCTCGTCCCGCCCATCCGAGGCGGGCAGTTCATGCCGGCAGCGCTGACGGCAGCGGGCGCCGGGGGCGCTCCAGCAGCGCACGTCCGCGTGGTGCGGTCGCGCCAGGGCGAGGGCGACGGCAAGCGCGCCGACGGGCTCAAGGAGGTGAAGACGTGGAAGTCGGGACAGAAGCAGGTGTACGGCATGATGATGCGCCAGATCCTCCGCAACTCCCAGCAGCAGCGCGAGGTCATGGCCGCGCTCTTCGACGTGTACCTCGGCCCAGAGAACCATCCCATCATCTTGCGCATGGGGGAGCAAACCTCCACGTACAGCGAGCTGGTGAAAGGCAAGAAAGATCACGAGTACGGCCCGCCACTGATCTGGGCCTTCGGAGGAGCGTTGGAGTGGCTGAAGGAACAGCAACCCGACACTCCCACGCAGGGGGTGTCCCTGACCAAGGAGCTCCACGTCAAGCTCAAGAGCGCGTACGACGAGTACAGCAGTTGGACGGTGAAGAAGAAGTGCGAGCTGATCTTGTGCTGCAAGGTGGAGAAGGTGTTCCAGCGGGGCATGAAGAAGGTAACGTTTGCGTACAGGGACCCCCACTTCCGCCAGATGATGATGGAGGCCTTCGAGGGGTTGCAGGACTGGCAGCTGAAACAAGGACGAGCCCCTCCAACGTTCATGGAGCGCGAGCTTCAACAGATGGTGGAGCAGCTGGAGACGGCTTGAGCGCTAGTACCGAGGCCATAGACCCACGCACGCAGTCCCTTGCTCGGCGTCATGGTGGGTCCCCTTCTGACAGGCCGCGAGATATCGTCTTCTGGGACGGCACAGTTAGCAAAGCTCCTGATGATGGAAAACATGGCGATTTTGAAATTACTCGTGAAGCTGGTAATACTTCGTGGCTACCGCTACTTGCAGCTGGTGCGGATCGGGCGGTGTTTCGCGCTCGTCCAGCTGCTGGCCCTGCTGGCGTTGTTCGGCCAGGCCCCGTCTCTCTCCCATCCAGGCTCCGACTTGTAACAGATTTTTTGGCGTCTCGTCATATCTTCCCTGGTACTCAGCAGTTCCAGACGATGATGAACAGTGATCGGGTGTATGGGATGGCAACGCAATGGTATAATCAGCAGAGCAGAGATGTAGAAGGAAATCGGGGTTAAAACTGAGGGCGGAAATTCGGGCAGTTATTCCTTGAGCCAGCGGAGCGCAGTGAGGGAGTAGTGAAGCAGCCGCATTCGTTTTCCACATTGAACTTTTTGTCGCCAACTGTGCTGGCAAGGGCCCATCTCGGTTGTTGCAAGGCGGGTTCTGGCCCTGTGGGCTCCGTCGTGTAGCGACTGCGTCGGCGTTTGCAAGCCCATGCTTCTCTTCCTCGGGCTTCGGTCTTGCCCTGGGATAAATTCAGGAGTGCCCCTCGCGGTCCCCTCACACGTCGGAGATCGTGGGGACGTGCCCTGGAGCCACCGTGGCTCCGTAGGGTACCGTCCTGTCGCCTCGAGGCCCAGCCTCTAGGCACGTTCCTGGCTTGATCAGGCTCGCCGCTCCAGAGTCACTTGGCATTCAATTCGTTGTTCTGCCCAGTGGTGATTTTGATATAGCTGGATTGCATAGTGCACTCAGCTCTCTCCAGAGACATCGGTTGGAGCTCATGGTGATTGTCTTGTCTTGTCCTCCTCCTCCTCCTCCTCCTCCCCCTCCTCCTCCCCCTCCTCCTCCTCCTCCTCCTCCTCCTCCTCCTCCTCCTCCTCCTCCTCTCCGGCTCCTCAATCAGGAGGGCGTGGGAGGCCCCCAGGAGTTGCTGCCGAAGGGAGGCCGCAGGGCCGAGCGGGCGGCAGAGAGAGATTGCCTTGGAGGCCGCGGGACGGCTCGGGGATCCCACCGCCCCAGAGGCTCCACGACCGGGAGCCCTGGGCCTTCCATTATGATTTTATGAGGTTCCAGCCTGCTTTGGCCTTGGGTCACCAGACAGAATTTCGAGCACCAGAAACAAGTACCGAAACCTGAGGGTGTTTTCACGTGTCGGGCCCTGGGAGACGCTCGTCCGACACTGCTTCGATACTGTTTCGACACGCTTTCGACACTTTTCCGGGTGCTCCAAATTATTTCTGGGATGTGCTCCTTCAGTACGATGGGAGCAACATAACATCACCCCTGAGGCTTCACGACCGGGAGCCCTGGGCCTTCCGCTGTAGTCTTAAGTCGGGCGTGTCCCTCTACAGGAGGAAAGTTCAACAGTACACAATATTCTGGGGACGAATGTTTGATTAATTTTGGCCATGTCCTAGTATGTTTTGGGTCTTTGTTATTTTTCGTCCAAAATCCGCCTGTAGGGGGACATCCCCGACCTAATTGTAGTGGCCTCTGGCCAGTGCCGCCGATCTGGGGCGCTCCGGATTCGGGTCAGCATGGACGACGACGACGAAGATGACGCTCCTCCCTTTCTTCCTCTTCCTTTTCCTTCTCCTCCTTCCTCCCCTCTTGAAGGCATACTGGATGCTTCTGGCGGCTCTGGGGGCCTCATGGGCCCATGGGGACAGTCAAACTGCGGCATGTTCCGAGCAGGATCGATATGTGAGGGCCCCAGGGCCCGCAGCAGGGCAAGATCGCCCGCTGTGCAAAACAATCGCGACGCCAGAATCTCAGGGCCTGAGGACAGCCCCATCGGGCGGCCAGCCCGTCCCGTCTCGGGGGGCTCAGCAGCCCCGCGTGATGGTGGGATGGGAAGACGGTCCGCCACTCCGGGCTCTGCACGTACGGTGCCAGGTCTGAGGCGACCAGGCGGCGGACGGTCGCTCGGACGCGTTCGTGTTTCCTCGGCGAGGACCATCGAGGACCATCTTGGGCCACCTTGCAAACAAAAACACACGCACGACGCCGAAAGATGCACGGGGAATGGACGCCCGAGCGATGGCGAGGGTCTGAGGGCGGCCACGCGCAGAGGGGGTATGGGGGGGGGAAGGCTTTTTTGGAAACACCCCTGCTCCTAAGAAGCCTTCCCCCCTCCCCCCCTACCCCCCTCTGCGCGCCGCCAGGAAGGGACGTCCGAGCGATGGCGAGTATCCCAAGACAGCCTCCTCCTCCTCCTTTTCCTCCTCCTTCTCCTCCTCCTCCTCCTTCTCCTCCCCCTCCTCCCTCCTCCTTCTCCTCCTCCTCCCTCCTCCTCTTCCTCCTCCCCTCCTCCTCCTCCTCCTCCTCCTCCTCCTCCCTCCTCCTCCTCCTCTCCTCCTCCTCTCCTCCTCCTCCTCTCCTCCTCCTCCTTCTCCTCCTCCTCCTCCTCCTCCTCCTCCTCCTCCTCCTCCTCTCCTCCTCCTCCTCCTCCTCCTCCTCCTCCTCCTCCTCCTCCTCCCCCCAACCCTCCCAGGGGCACCGGCAGCTGGTGCAGCAGCAGGGCGGGCCAGAGGCAGCGGGAGCGGGCGCGGCCCCACGGGCGCGGCGGGGGCGTCTGAAGCCGGCGTTCCAGGACGGCCTTAGCAGCGGTTGCTCCTCTTCCTCCTTCTCCTCCTTTTCCTCCTTCTCCCTCCCTCCCTCACTCACTCACTCACTCACTCACTCGTCCTCCTCCTGTTTCTCCTCCTCCCTCCTCCCCCTCCCTGCTCCCTCCTCCCTTCTTTCTTCTCTTCCCTTCTCCTCCTCCTCCTCCTCCTCCTCCTCCTCCTCCTCCTCATCATCATCATCATCATCATCATCATCGCCATCACCATCACCATCCTCTTTCATCCCCCTCCTTCCTCCTCCCTCATCCCTCCTCCTTCCTCCGTTCTCTTTCTATTTCCTCATCAGCATCATCATCAGCATCATCAGCAGCATCAGCATCATCATCACCGTCATCAGCAGCAGCATCATCATTATCATCATCAGCAGCATCAGCATCAGCAGCATCATCATCATCATCATAACATCAGCATCATCATCATTATCATCAGCAGTGGCTCAAGCCGCTCTGGCTGAAGCCAGGTCTACTTCTCCCCACCTCACCATTCCCCTCGTCGCCCAGCGGGAGGCTGGGCGCCGCGATGGCGGTCTATGTCGGCCTCAGCACGGGCCGGGCTGGGGACGGCTGTGGGTTGCCGCTTTCAGGCGCAGATGCCGGGTCTCGAGCTCCTGATCAGCTGGGCGGAGGAGGTCGACGCCGAGGCCGCCAAGGCGCATCTGGAGGCGTTTCCGTCCGTCGTGCCGCGGCCCGCGCAGGCCTTCGCGCCGTCCAGCCCGACGGCCACGCTTTCGACAAGCGAACCCGACAGCGAGCCCGAGGTCCTTCAAGGCACCGAGCTGTTCACTACCGACTTGATACTGATGAGGAGCTTGATGAGGACAGCGAGTGGAAGGCTGAGACCGAGGAGATCGACGCTTTTGAGGCGTGGTGGCAGGACTTGCTGCAACCGCTGGGCCACGTGAGCTCACTATCGCAGGCGGTGGTGATGAGGGTGGCTTTCAATGCGGTGTTCAGCCCCCCCGACGGCGGCGCTACCGACCAGGCCACCATTGTAAATTCCGAAGTCCACAGCGACCTCACGCGCGCTCTGGAGCAGAAGCTGCAGCTGGACAGTCACCGCGATGGGGACGGCCAGGGCGTGAGGATCCCCGTCGCGAACGACAAGAGGCGGCCGACAGAGGAGCAGCTCGAGGAGACGAGCGTGATCAGCGAGGACGAGCAGTTATCAATGTCTCTCCATGAGGGTCCACTTGGCTCCGCCTTTGGTGATTGGGCTTGCGGATCCTCACTGCGAGCACACGACAACGAGTTCCCGTGGGCTTCGGTGACCAAGCTGGTTTAACACCGGATGGCAGCACGGAGAACTTGGACAGAAGGTTCGAAACGGAGCCCAAGCACGACCGCGTGGTCACGTTCGCGACGGGGTACATCATTCCCGAGTTCGCCGACGAGCTGGTTGGGTGTCAGGACCCGCGGGGCTTCCAGTGCCTTTCTGGTTCGCGCCGGACGGCAGCACGGAGAGCCTCGACGGGAGACGCCAGTTGGGGCTCAAACGCACCCCGCAGACTTGGCTTCCTTACCATGGACACCGCTCGCACCAGAGGCACGGCTTACCTGGAAGCGCTGGCCGCAGTCCACGGGATGATAGGGAAGATCGACGTGAAGCTCATCGTGGCACGGGTGCAGGCCCTATCACAGCATCACCAGGCGGAGGGCATGTTTGCCCGCAAGCGGGGCGAGGCGCCCAAGGCGAGGACGCACTTCCAGGACGGGGTGGCCTTCGCCGACCTCCTGAAGTCCATTGCGGCGCTGGAGGAGAAGACGGGCATGGCTGGCCGTAGTTTGTAGCTCTGCTTGTTTTCCTCCAGTGTCGCTTGTTTGTCGCAGCCGGGCGCCATTTCCCTCTCGCGCTCTTTCCCTCGTTCCTCCTCCCCTCTTTCTGCCCCCTCTTCCCCTTCTTTTTTGAGGGGTGGGTTCGAGGTTGTGCTTGGGATCCGTTGCCCGCACTGGTGCCGTCCCGCCTGCGCCGGTCGGGCGCTGAGGCCCGCCGTCCGCCATGACCTCTCAGCTTCGATTTTCACGGGGTTCGTTGGGCCTCTTGCTCATTTGCTGCCTCTCCCTGTCTTCGTAGGTTCGTGGTTATTCACGGCCTGCTCAGCAGCTTCGGTTTTTCATGCGCACCACCGCTTGGAACACTTGGTTCGGTCTCCGCTCCCTGCTCTTGTCCTCCCCCTCCTCATCCCTCGCGCCCCTCTTGGGCCTTGCTGCTTAGGGGGTGTCTCGCGCTCGTGCTTATTTGCAGTGCGATTTTGGCCAGGGCCTCGGCGTGGTTCCGACGGGTGTCCCGCATGCCGCGATCGCGCGCTTAAGGGCGCGCGCAGGAAGTCGAATCTCGAGATTTTCCCTCTGGGAGTTTGTGGTTTTTCTTCCTCCTCCTCCTCCTCCTCCCTCCTCTTCCTCCTCCTTCTCTTCCTCCTCCTCCTCCTCCTCCTCCTCCTCCTCCTCCCCTCTTCCTCTCTTTCGGCACTGTGTGTGCGTCCGTTTCCTCATCCTTGTTGAGGAAGAAAATGGCTTTCAAGTGCAACCGGTATTCGCGTTGCGACGGCGGTTGTTGAAGCGTGCGTTCAGTTACCATCTTTGCCTTCCACAAATACTTTATCATCACCATCGTCATCGTCAGCATCGTCGTCATCATCAACATGGGCATCACAATCATCATCATCATCATCATCATCATCATCATCATCATCATCATCATCATCGACCTCGTCCTCGTCCTCGTCCTCCTTCCTCCTGTTTCCTCCTCCTCGTCATTCTTCCTTCTTCCTCCATCATCCTCCGCCTCCGCCTACGTCCTTCTGCTTCCGCCCCCTTCCTTCCCCCCCTCCTGTCGCCCAGCCTCCTTCTCAAAGTTCGAATCTGCGGAGTGCGTCACCAAAAAATGATCTAAGCCATTGTCGCGCCCCTTTTCCTCACATCCTCTCCCCACCAGCGCGCGTGCAGCTGTCTCACTAGCAATAATTGCTGCAAGTCGCCCCCGCGAGGGGCGCGGTAGAGGGCACGGTGCAAACGCAGGCAGCGCATCAGCCAAAAGGGGGGGCGACCCCTGAGGAAAGGGAGTGGCGACAGAGGGGCGACACGAGGGTTGCTCCTCCTCTTCCTCATCCTCCCCAAACCCCTTCCGCCCACGCCCACGCGATTGACGCGCGGTGGCGCTCGCCCCATGCCTGCGTGACGGACCCGACTGGTAGGACCAGGGTGCGGTCCTGCGACAGCTCGCCACTCGTGTACCGCATCCGTTTCCAGCGGCATTGGGCTCCCTCGCCAAATGAAATTTCAGTAAGCCCTGGCCCCCTCGCGTGGCGAAAATTGGCGACAGCATGGGTTCTATTACTTCAAGCCTCTAGGGGCCCTCGCCGGCGCGGGCGCGGGCGTGGCCGCGCGGGCCTGGCAGGGTCTTCTGGAGTCAGCGGTCCAGGTCGTCCCGGCAGCGATGTGTCGAGGAATCAAAACGGCGCACACGGTTGTCGAGGGCCCCCCACAGGCTGGAGATCGCAAAAGCCAATTTGCCGCGAATTTTGTTCGAGGCGCGTGGGGGCTTGGGGCTGAGAAGGAAGAAGAGAAGGAGGAGGAGGGAAAGAGGAGGAGGGGGGAAGGAGGAGGAGGAGGAGGAGGAGGAAGAACGGCTGTTTTGTGCAAATATGTATTGGAGTTCCGCGCGGATGTTTTGGATCCGCATTAGGTCCCCTTGGCGGCGCACCCGGCGCCGCTTTTGGCAAGTTCCACACGCCAGGGAGGGGGGGGGTCCAGCACCAAGCCAAGAAATCCGTGCGGACCTCCAAAAGGTCACTTGTTTGTTTCTCGAGATTCGTCGTTCTCCTCCTCCCTTTCCTCCTCCTCCTCCTCCTCCTCCTCCTCCTCCTCCTCCTCCTCCTCCTCCTCCTCCTCCTCCTCCTCCTCCTCCTCCTCCTCCCCCCCCCCCCCCCCCTACTCCTACTCCTACTCCTAACTACTACCTCCTACTCCTACTCCTCGTCCTCCTCCTCCTCCTCCCTCCTCCTCCTCCTCCTCCTCCTCCTCCTCCTCCTCGTCCTCCTCCTCTTCGTCCTCCTCCTCCTCATTCTCCTCCCCCTTCTTCTACTCCTACTCCTCCTACTCCTACTCCTCGTCCTTCTCCTCCTCCTTCTCCTCCTCCTCCTCCTCATTCTCTCCCCGAGACCCCCCCACGCCGCGAACAAGAATCGCGACAGGGTGGTCTTTGCGAATCTTCGCCCCAGGGGGCCGTGTGCCCCGAGATTGTCCAAAGTCGATTCGGTCCGTGGGAATGGGTCGATATTTCTGGGGTCCACGCTGTGGAAAAAAAGAAACCGAAACAAACAAACCCCCAAAAAATGCCGTAGGTCTGGGTCCTCGACATCCTCCATCCTCTTCGTTCGTTCGCGCTCTTCTTCCTTTTCCTTCCCTCCTGTCGCTCCCTCGCTCCTCCTCCTTCCCCCTCCTCGTCCCCTCCTTCCTCTTCGTCCCCCTTCTCCCTCCTCGTCCCTCCCTGCCTCGCTCCCTCTCCCATCTTCCTCCCTCCCCGGCTCCAGCTCCCCCTTCCTCCTGGTTCTCCTCACCGGCGCGCCCTGCGTCTCTTGGTTTTTTCCCGTCTCTCCCGCATTCCAATGCGCGCGGAGGGAGGGTGGAGGGGAAAGAGGGAGAGAAGCGGGCGCGGGGGGCGGGGGAGGCGGGTCTTCCTTTCCGTCCTGTTCCCCCTCCTTCGCATCTTCCTGTTGCTTCACCTTGTCCACCTCATCCGCCCCTTTGTCCTTACAAATAACTCCTCCCTGTCGGACCCCAGACGTGTCGCCTGGGTGTGCTGGACGCTTCGCTCGAGATTTCCTCACCATTTGTGAATTCTGAAGCTTCTGCAAAAAAGCTCACGGATGGTTTTCAAGAGATGTTTCTCGCTTTCGTGCCGCGAACATAAGTCATACAATTCTGCGACATGTTGTTTAAGAATGGAGGGCGGGTAGTTTTCAACATGTGGCTCTCACCTGAACGCCGCGCCCATTCGCTGTACGAGTTCGCAAGCGCATCACGGATGGAAGGTTGGTCGTTTTCAAAGTATGGTTCATGTTTTGCGCACATCCGGCTTAAAAGTTTGCAGCGGCTTCCAGGATGGAGGGTGGGTCTTTTCAAAATTCGATTTAGCCGTGGCGCCGCGGGCATTCGATTGAGTAATTTGCAACAGTGGCAAGGGTGGAAGGCGGTTCCTTTCCAAAATGTTGCTCGCACTGTAGCTGCGCACGCTCGTCCTGGATGCAGTCCCTGGAACTGTTCTCTGGTTTGGGATTGTCAGGACGCAGCAGTCACGTTGATTTGTGGCTTGGCAGTCCCCACAATGGTGTTCTGGCGCGGTTTAGAATTCTGAGGAGCCCAGATTCCTGTTGATTCGCGGCGTTGAAGTCCCAGGAGCTGCGTTTCTTCTCGGCTGAGGATTCTCTGACAGGTGTTTTCCAACGGGGCACCTCCCGCAATGAGCATATAATCTTGTAGGGGTTTATCAGGTGCAATCTGAAGGGAGGGTTTATTGCAACTTCGTCGATGCGCCTTGGATTTGCACTGGGCTTCCTCCTCCTCGTCCTTCTACTGCCCCTCCGCCCCCCCCTCCTTCTCGCCGTTCCAAATGTGGACTTGGGCAATACGCCCTGACTCCGACGCCGCCAGCGTATCGCCGCCGTTGCCCGCTGGATGCAGGTGCCTTGTGCTCCAGAGGCGTCTTGAGGCCCGAAGGTGGCAGAACATGCATAGGAACCTCGATCTCGTCGTCTACGACCTTGCGACGTGTGTCAGAGCCCCGAATCATCAGGGGTAACTCGGGTCAGGGCTAACTCGGGTTCCTTTTTCGGGAATCCAAACCCGAGTTACCCCGGACCCGAGTTACCCCGGATACTTCGGGCGTCCAGAGCCCCACGGGTAACTCGGGTCAGGGCTAATTCGGGTTGCTTTTTCGGGAATCCAAACCCGAGTTACCCCGGACCCGAGTTACCCCGGATAATTCGGGCGCCCAAGTGTGCGACGTTCACGGTGGGACGTGAGTTCCTCCATCGTTCCCTGCGTTTGCCGCCGCCAGCCCTTTCCCAGCACCACTTCTTCCCCCCTCACAACCTCAGAAGGGTGGCCAGTTGAGACACTTGCGGCTCTTCTCCTCCCCCGTCCCCTCTCTCCTCCTCGTTCTCTTCCTTTTCCATCCCTTTGCCTTTATAAGCCCGCTGTCTTTACAAGTAACCCCTCTCTGTCCCACCCCCAGGTGTGTCGGTAGTGGGGCCGAGCTGTTCGCTTGAGCTCTTCAACACTTATGGCGTTGACGTTTCGAACTGTGCAGCGGTTTCACGGATGGAGGTCGGGTCCTTTTCAAAATGTCGGTTTCGTTTCAGTGCCGCGCACATTTGATTAAAATTTGTGCAACAGTTCCATGGATGGAGGGCACATGTGTTTCAAAGTGTTGTTCGCATTGTAGCGCCGCGCGCATTCGGTGAAGAAGTTCGCAACCGTTCCACGTGTGGACGGCGGGTTTTTTTCAACATTTGGTTTGCGCCTTGGCTCCGCGCACAGTCGTTTGAAACATGTGCAACAGCTTCAAGGGTCGAGGATGGTTCCTTTTGAACGTGTGGATCTTGCCGTAGCGCCGCACGCATTCGCCTTCGAAGTTGGCAACCGTATCAAGGATTCGTATGGCTTGCGTCCTGGCACGACTTACAGGTGTTATGCCTGCAATGGGCGTATAACATTGTAGGCCAAATGAGATGAAATCTGAAGGGAGGGCTTATTGCAATTTCGTTGATGCGACTTGGGTTTGCACTGGTCCTTCTCCGCGTCCTGCTATTGCCCCTCCTCCCCCTCGCTTGCTCGCGTCACTTTGCGCGGCCAGTGTTTTGTACCTCTGGCCAGACATCGATATTTCTTCGATTGATAGGGTTGTATACCCACCTGCTGCCGCAGCCACTTCCGTCGGTCGCGTATGGCAGCGCTGGGGTAGAACCTGGAGATGTGCTCACTGCCTGCGTGGTAGCCGCGCTGCTGTCCAGCCACCCCCTGGCTCTTGTCCTAGGGAGTCTTTGATTCACACTGCTCATCAGGATGGGTTGCAGCACCGCGCCACCGCATTTCCCTGCTCGGGCAGCTCGGTTCTTCTCATGCGCACGAAGTGCAAAAGCCACAGCAGCGGAGGTCAGACCCAAGGACGTGTTGCTAAGTGTGCTTCCGTCCCGATCCGAGCGGGGAAGCATATGTGGGAGTATTTGTGCAGGGGCCTCCACCCTCAGTGTAAGCAGCGTAATGAAGGCGTTTGAGTTGACACCGAAGGCATGATCCAGCGTTTCAACTCTCCGCCTGCTGCCGCCGAGCCCGCTCTGAGCTCAGCGGTGCTTGTTTGCATTGTTGCCGCGCCTTCTCACAGCGCCTCGCAGAGTGCCATCATCCAGCGTGTGCGCACCTCACTTGCCCTCGGAGAGGGCGACGGCCCGCTCATGCCGAAGGTGGGTGAGCGGTCAGACATGTCTGAGTAGCTTTTTGTACAGGACGGCTGAACTTCCCTCCATTGCAGTCGTCGACGGACTCTTTTCAGCAGTCAGGAGGAGCTGGGCGTCGAGCTCAACAAAATGCCGTTCCAAATGTGGACTTGGGTCTACGCCCTGACTCCGACGGCCGCCGGCGTATCGCCGCCGTTGCCCGTTGGAGAAGGGTGCCTCGGGCCTGCTTCCAGAGACCCCCGGAGGCCCGAAGAGGAGCATACAAAGTCCGAGGTCCCGCCCCCTCTCCGCAAATGCTCCTCGCGCGGGAGGGCCGCCGATAGTGGTGCAGCCTGTCCTCCGACAAGATTCCTCCTGCGCCTCCTCCTCCTCCTCCTCCTCCTCCTTCCTCCTCATTCCATCCTCCTCGTTACTTCCTCCTCGTTACTTCCTCCTCGTTCCTTCATCCTCCCTCCTCCTCCTCCTCCTCCTCCTCCTCCCTCCTCTTCCTTGTTCCCTCCTCCTCGTTCCCTCCTCCCTCCGCGTGCTCTCTCGCCCTCCTCCCGCAGGGCCGGGCAGCCAGGCCCGCGAGGCCG